TTGTCTTAAATAGCTTAGTAAAGACGCACTATAATTATAAAGTTTTTTACTTAATTAATTTACACTTTATAGCTTATAAGGCACTTATATAGCTTCTAAAGTATTTTATATAGCAGGAAGGTAAAATCCTTAGTTTCTTAATCTTTAAAGTTAACTTATACTTTAGCCTAAAGGATACTATATAAATAGTTATTTACTTTATACTTAGTAATATAATATATAGCTATAGTAGTAAGGCTATTACACTACTTAGCCTTAGTAAGATCCTTTAGTATATCTATAATATAATCTCTCCCCTAAAGATTAGGAATAATATACTATAGGTTACTTACTATAGCTACTAGCCTTATAGTATTATATAGTATTACGTACTTATTATAAATTATTATAGGTTACTTAGTTAATTTACCTTTTTAAGTGTTACGTATTATTTCTTTATACTTACTTATCTTAGTTACTTACTTATAATTACCTTCTATTAGCCTAACTACCTCTTAGTTATAAGCGTTTCCCTTAACTATTATTAAAAGGCGTATACGTCTATTAGAGGACTTACTGCTAGTAGTATAAGGAATTATAAAGACTTAAGGTTAAATAGAAACTTAAAAAGGGAAGGCTTATAGTAAGCTTATAGGTAATAAAGGCTAGTAACGTAAAATAATTTAGAGAAAGAAAAGAAGATATATAAAAAAGAGAAAGTTAGTAAGCTTTATAGGCTTATAACAAAAAGAAGGTAAAGGGTAAATAATTACTAATTAACAGTAGGTTAGCGTATAAAGTAAGGTGTTTTTTATAGTTAGATAGGGGACTTCTTATATAGTAATAAAGTTAATTTACTTATATAAATAACGTAAATTTATACTACTCTTACTATATTAAGGGGATATAACTACTAAGTAATATAAATTAACCTATAATAGGCATATAGTATAATCTTACTATAAGGGTATTTATAAATAGGATTCTTAGTAACTAATAAAGGCTACTATAAATAATTAATAGAAAAATTACCTCTTCTTATATTACCTTACTAATCTATAGTAGCTTATAGTAGTAGTTACTATAAAGTTAACTACTAATTAGTGTTAGTTTTACTAGGGTAGTAATATAGTTAACTATATGTATTAATAGGTAAGTAATAAATAATAAGGGTAAATACTAGTTCTAAATTATATATAAAGGAAAGGAAACTATTATAGGATTACGTAGCGAATCCACTGCGTAATATCCCTATGAATCTAGTGGATCTATAGTAAATTAGCTGTAGTTATTCTAGCTGTATTAGCGTTAATCTATACTGCTAATATCTAGGCAATAGTCAACATTATAACACTAATAGTTCTAAAATAATAAGGATAGTAATCCCTTATACCTTATTTTATCTCTATATAATTAGTTTATAAGACGTTACTAAGTATAAAAAGGTGTTAAATTCCTAAGTAACTATAGCTAGCCTATTAAGTAATCTCTAGCTAGTAGTAACCTTACTTAAAGGCGTTATAAAAAGGTATTATCTTACTATATATATAGGTAGTTAGATTATACTAAGGACTTTATTTAAGGCTACTTTTTTTATAAAGCTTACTTTATAGTAAAAGATTATAGACTATATATAAGATAGCTTATAAGTAATAATATAGTTTAGTATATTATAAAGTTAACTAATAAGTAAAGATTACTACTTTTAGCTAAAGTATACTTAAGGCTACTTAATTAACTATATAACGCCTAATAAGTATAATAATTATAAAAACGTTACTAGTAAATTACTAGTATATAATAAAGGCGTTACTAGACCTTATAAGCTAATAAGTATATATTAAAAGTTACTACACCCTTTACTAATTTATAAATAGTTAAAAGGCTACCTATATAAAAAGTAATTTAAAGACACTAAAATAGTATATTTATATAAGTATAAAATATTAAAATCTTAAGTAATAGTACTATAAGTAGTAGCTAAAAAGTATTAAGTCCTTAGCTACTACTAGGTATATACCTATAAGCTTAATAAATATAGTTAATTAACTAAATTTAAGGTAAGACTTATTATTTATAGTAACTAATAAGTAAAAGATTTATAAGATACTTATATAGCTATATTAGTAAGTATATTATTTAAAATACTTATAGTAATAGCTACTTACTTTAACTTAAAACTACTTTAATATAATATAGTAAATATATTTATTTATACTACTATTAATAAGGTAGTATTTATAGAGATACCTTTAGGCTACTAAATTACTAACTAGACTTTTTAGTTATTAAAAGCACTTTATAGGCTTTAATAATCTCTTTTACTATAGTAAAAGCACCTTAAAGAAAGGCTTACTATATAAGGATTTTACTAAGTACTTAGTAAAAATTACTATTAGAAAAAGGATTATATTATATTCTTTTTTTATATTAATAACACTAAGAAATACGACCGTACAAAAGAGTACGCAGGTCACCTGTTTTATTACTATAATTAAATAGTTACACACTTATAAGGGTAATTAATATCTAACTATAACTATATATTAGCCTATTACTATATAAATAAAACGTAAGTAAGTAATAAGATAGTAGCTTTTTAGTAATAATACTACCTTAAAGGTAGAGGCCTATTATAATAGTTCTTTAGCCTTAAGGTAATTTATAACTAAAGTAACTATTATCTCTAGCTCTTATAAGTAGTATATTATAATAAAGTAACTAAACTACTACTAATAAATAAGAAATATAATAAATTATTACTTATAGTAAGGCCTAAGCTACTACTTAGTAAATATATAGCCTTATTATAAGAGGTTAACTAATATTAAAAAAAAGTAAAGATAATTCTTTATATAGTAGTAATAACTTAGCTAGATATTACCTTTATAGCTAGCTAGCTTACTTACTTTAACTATAATCTAAATCTAGATTACTAAAAGGTAGTAAATTAAGTGCTTAGGTATCTTTATTAAATATAGCACCTTTACCTTAAATATAAAGTAACACTAAGTAGTAAAGATAATACGTTAGAGTTTACTTTAGACACCTTATTTACTAATAACTTACTAAACTATTATAGCTTATAAGCGTACGTACTAAAGCTATTTAGAGGGCTTATCTCTTAGTAAGCTAATAAATAAGATATAGTAATAACGTTAACTACTAAGGCTAAATTACTAGCCTTATTATCTACTATAAAGAAGGCGCTCTTTACTAGTAGATTAATTACTATACTAGGTATTTAACTATTAATATAAATAGGAACTAAATTATTACTTAATAAGTAGGTAGCTACTAAATAGCTACTAACTATTTATATTAGCTATAATAATACCTAGACTATTAGGCTTATTACTAAAGAGCTTATCTAACTATAGATAAGGCTATAGTATATAGATATTTATAACTACTAGCTATAACAAGAAGTAGTAGTAGATTAGATTACTATTAAATATAAAAAGTCTACTAAATTAATAGCTAATAGATTAATAAAGGCGCTTAGTATACTATAACTTACTATATTTATAGCTTAATTAAATATAAGTAACTAATATATACGCCTTAAAGTAAATTAATAGTAAGAATTAGCTAATAATAAAGTAAACCTTTACTACTAAATAGAAAAAAAAATATATAGAATATTAAAAAATAATTAATAAATAAATAGGCTATATATAGATAATATTTAGTATAGGCTTTATAGTAGTTAATTACGCTACTAGCGCTAAGAGGGTGTATTAAATATAGTAGAATTATATATAAATTAGCTAGTAAATATATAGTTACCTTATAGTAAATTATTAGGGAATAAGTAGTAAATTAGCCCTACTTCTAATAATAACTTTATAAATAATATTACTAGGATTAGCTAGGGATTTCCTAACTAAGAAATAGGGGTTTTTCCCTATTTCTATAGTAATTTACTATAGACATAGAACATATAACAGAATTAATTAAGTAACTATTATAATCCCTACTATTTAACAACTAGTAATACTCTTTTTTAATTCACTACTTTATTATATGTATATCTATTACTATGTTACGCGTCTATTACTAATTGGCCCTTTCTAAGGGGCAAATGTACGGATCTATCTGAGAAATAACTGGCGCATTCGCGGCTAATTGCCCCACATTGATCCGGGCACGTGCGACCATTTCGCCCACTTTGACAGGATTTACCTGTTTGCATTTCTTTCTACGTCGCCCACAACCAAGTAAGCATAACTAGTCCCTGTCCCTCCTTTCTTTCTATTCCCAACCACCAAGGGAACCTAGCAGGCGCCATTGAGGGCCTACTAACAGAAACGCAGACACAGCACCGATATGCCAGTCGTGGAACCCCGGCCATATCGACTACACCGCCCGATCCATCATAGACCCAATACCAACCCAGATGCGAAGTTCGCCGGACCACTTGCCCTGAGATCGCCAGCCTGCAGAAGCATTGTGAGAGAGATGGCCTTTGCCTTCATGCGTTCATACAGCTGCCAACAGTGACGGGAGATGGATGGAGATTGATGGATAACGAGGGATGTGTGGGCACATTTTGGCAACAATCAACCTCGTGTTGAACCACACAAACAAACTAGGAGACCCTTGTTTCGATGCCTGGACAAATTGGGGCCAGTGACCTTTCCCATCACCGGACAGGTAAGCAAACAAGCAAATAAACAAACAAACAGAGGTAGGTAGGGACACGTACACACGCAGTAAACCAGGTAAATCAATTCCATCTCATTGTTCCACTGCCGAGGTAAATAATATTAATAATACTAACTCGGGTTTCCTCGTCGAATTGCGATATTTGGCGTCGCTCCACTTCATCATCATCGTCCTCCCTTGCATCACCGGGCCCGGCGTCGTATTCTTCTTATTACTGTCATTCGTCCATTCATTCATTCATTCGTTCATTCATCTTCTTCCCCTTCGTTCATGTCTCTTTTGCTCCGTCGGCTGAGCTCTGGGAACCAAGGGCTCGCTTGATCCAAGAACAAACGGCCTCGGAACTTATCCAAATGTCCGCCTCGCCCCCTCCCGAGTCGCAGCCGATCCCGTCATCTCGGACATGGCTGTCTTCACCGTCTCCATCTTCGCCGACTCCATCCTCGCCATCTCCATCCTCTCCCTCCTTCACCGTCCTGCGCATTCGCCTCTGCTTTCCCCCGGCCGCCTCTGCCGCCACCACTCCCCGATACGGAGACACGCAGGTCGTCAACATGGCCTTTGGCCACGACTTCGTCCCGACCCCTGATGTCCCCCTCAGCCTCTATGTCCGGCGTCGCGGGCCCGTCCGATCCGTCTATGGAGACGTCGACTGCCTACCCCAGGTCACGGCATACAATCTCTACACTATTAACCAGGACGTCCACATTGGTCGTGCCACGAACCCCACGAATCCCGCTCTCGACTCTGCCTCGGAGTCTTCCCCCAGTCCTGCCGAGTTTGAAGCCGACGCCGAACCCGAGACTGCCCAAGAAGCCGCCGGTTCTCGACTCCTCCGGGCCAACCCCCCCCAAGCCACACCTTTGCTGTTGGGCGCCATCGCACTCACGCTCGCTGCCGCCGTCGTCGTCGTCCTGTACTTGGTCGTTACACCTCTGCTTGGTCGGCCCCTGCCTTGTGGCGGTAAGATGGACGAGACGAGGACACCCCCTCCCGTCTGCAAACACAAACGCGCCGCACCATTAACGCTATTTGATGACCTGGCCGCGCTTCTCGCTCGTCGTGCCAATGCTCCCCTGCCCCTGACCGTCACTGCCCAGGCCGTCATCGACCAGCACTACAACGCCAGCCACGGTTTGTCGGACCCGACCCGCGCTTCGACCCCCATTACCGTCTTCTTCGTTCATCTGCGAGAGACATCGGCCGGCCTTTGCGACGACACCACCGACTGGGCTCTGGAATCCAAGTCACCCATGCTAGATGACCTCGTCCTACTCTGCTCCTCCATCCACGACTCGCTGGTTGATCTGCCGACGCGCTGGCTGGATACCAGTGGCTTCATGTCGTTTCCGTATTCCTACAAGTCCATCACTGCCATATCCACCTTTGTCAATGCCCTTGAGCAACACGCCGGGACCGACGCTTATGCTGATCCATCCGAAAACAATATGCTCTTCTACAACACAACGTCGTACGCCGTAATCCGCTCTCTCAAACAAACACTGTTCGGTGGCCCAGGCCTTGCACATCTCGCACACCCCGTCTACGATGCCATCCGGATAACGGCTGCCCTTGAGAGGGAGTTGACGGATGCGCATACCCGCCTGCTTCTATTCAGCAGCATGGTTCGCGACAGCTTGATTCCCGCTGCCAGAGCTCGCCAGCAAGCCAAGGCGTCATCGTCATGTTCCTGGATGTCCGGCTGCCGTTTAAAGGCCGCCCGCGCGGACCTGGCTGATAGCACTCCCAAATACAATCGTCTCCTCTCCCTCATCAACACAGCCACCACCTTGGTCTGGATTGTCGCCTTTACCCACCAAGAGCTTGGCAACGTGAGAGACGTCTTGGAGCGGCTGGGAAACCAGACCTCAGCCCTGGTCGCCACCCCACCGGGGTCGACCGCCGCCTCGTCCACGACGCGACCAGGTTGTGGCCTCGCCCATGACCGACAACAGCACGCGCCTGCTGCTCCATGGGTTGAGCTAGGTGAAGGCGGTGCTACCTGTACCTTTTGGTACCTCCCACCTGTTCAAGATATCATTGCCACCTTTAAGAAGGTCCTGGGCTGGTGTAAGAGGGAGGACGGTTCGAGCGGGCAGAACTTTATATGGCTATGTGACGCTCATCAGGCGTGGGAATGGTAGCCAAGATAGAAACCGTGCTCAACATCAGTGACACTGAATTTTCGTTTTTATTTTATTTCTCCTCCCTTCATCACGTGTGTGTGTATCTATTCCTCTAATGCAACATATCCTTGTCCAACAGGGCGGTCACTCACCTGTCGCTCCATACAGCCAGACAGAGAGAGCACCAACTAACGCCGGCGGCTCTTCAGCACCTGGCTCCATTCCTGCAAAGCGTTCTCTTCAACCCGCGCAGCAAGCTCTGCGGCCTCAAGGGCCTGCGTGACGGCATCGTACGCCCCGTGCTCCCGCTCAAGGGCATCTAGCCACGCGTCGCGGGCCCCCCGCCACGCGCTCCGACGCTCGTCCCGGTTGTCCTCCCACTGCCACGGGTTGCCGGGACCTCCTGGGCTGCCCGCCGCCGCCGTCGCCGTGGCCACCGCTCTCTTGGCCCGCTTGGCGTCGGCCTCGCGGGCTTCCATGGCGGCCTTGTTGTCAGACGTCTCGCGCCGCGCGGCGGCGAGGACCTCGCGCTTGTCCGCAAGGTCCCGGAAGGCCAGGGAGGCCGCCTTGGTGGCCTCGAGGGTGGCCAGGAACTCGGGATCCATCTTCTCGTACGCGGACTCAAACCTGTCCATCTCTTGACGCATGCGGTCCATGTCCCTTGCGTCGTCGTCCGACACGGCAGCGGCTGAGAGTGGCAGTGGCACAGGTGGATGGAGTGAGCGAGCAGACGACCGATCCGACAGCCGCCGGTGTGCCGGAGGCAGAGAGGTGCCCCTCGTCGTCGTCGTCGTCGTCGTCGTCGTCGTCGTCGTCTTCGGAGGCGGTCCCTGGATGTTCAAGCCAGAAAAGGATCTTGGAAACGAGTCGGATTCGCTAGGTCGTGCTGCCGGTAACGATGGAGGCGGCAGCAGCAGCACGGCAGACGGAGGCTCGGAACTGGACCGGACGGGAGGCGTCGCCGCCGCACCTTGGTCATCGCGGTTCGTGTGGTTGCCAGGAGCAGTAGCAGCAGCAGCGGCGGCGGCATCGGTATCGTCGCCGGCCTTCTTCTCGTCGTACCACCTCGAGATGTGCTGCAGCTGGGCCGACAAGGAAGTCTTGTTGGTCCACTTGGGCTCCCAGTCTGTCTCGCCATCTGCCGGCGCCTCCCAGCCGACGCCGTAGTCGATGAGGGTGTCAATTTGGTCGAGGACGGCGGCGGAAAAGTAATTCAGCAGGTCTTGGTGGTTGGGGCGCTGGGCATCGAGGTGTTTGTGGAATCGCCGCAGTTGGCGAGCCCGCATGGCTGGATCAATGCGTGTCCGGCTACGGCTACGGCCAAACGACGGCGTCATTATCCTCTGGCTGATCAGCAAACACGGCATCAGGACTAAAGAGGCGCCGCACCAACCGTGTAGGGGGAGAACCTTCTCTCTCTGTGCGCGTGGTCTGTAGATTCGTTCATTCACAAAGACAGGCATAACAGGGGGCTTACCGAGTAGGACACAGGACCGAGGTTAACGTTGACGACAGATGATGGCATGAGAACTTACCTCCCCACGGTGACGGACAGGGGAAGAAGCATGAGAAGAGAGGAACCGGGAGAGAGACAGGGAAGGGAGACATGGCAAAGATGTCGGTTCTGTCAAGCAAGTGTCATGTCCTCGCAAGCAAACAAACAAACGGGACACACAGGCGGTCAGATGAGGAGAAGAAGCATGGACATGGATGAGGAAAGAATTTTCAACCTTGTGTAACGCCGTCCAGTACGCCGCGCACTGTGTACGTGTGCCATGATGTTCCTGGACAAGATGGATTTGTTACTGTCTACGAGATGGTGTTTGTATACTGTCTACCTCCTGTACAAGGGGGAGGGGGGGAGGGATACTTGCATCTTTCCCCCTGCCCCCTGCCCCTCGCCATCCTCACCCTTGCCTCATCATCAGTCCTGCTTCCATCCCGACACTGCGCCATCGTCCTTGGCAGCCTTGGTCGGAGAGACAACGGGCCGGGCAACCAGGCCTCTCCAAACCATGACGCGGCACAATCGACGAGGCGCGAGGTGAATCCCCCATCCGCCCCCATCCCCCCCCCCCCCCCCCCCCCCCAATGGGGCGCTCAGCACTCCGCCTCGTAGTCAGCGCTCCATCACACCAGAACGAACCGTGTCCGGGCATCCACGGTTGTTATTGTGTGTAGGTGCGTCACGACCACAAAGAGCGGGAGGCGAGCTGCCAGTCTTGAGAGGCAGATGGACAGAGAAAAGGGGGAGGGGGCACCGGCCAGCCAACCAGGTTGCTGTCTGTCTTGAGCGGAAACCTTTGCATGGATTCATCCCATAGCGGGCGGTTCAAGGATTCGCAACGCCTGCCTTATTGACTGATGTCTGTGTAGGTAGGGTGGGAGGTGCAAAGGTTTCCGTCAAGTTCAGACCGTCAAGTCGCGTCTGTAGCAGCCAATGGTACATGTTTGCTTGTTTACATGTGGCGCTAGCGACAAAAGACGGGGACGAAGGGACAGCAACGCAAACTTGGGCCTTTCATTTCATCTCGGCGGCACTCCTCCCGTCGGTTCCCGTGTTCCCTGCCGAGCCGTCTCGTGCCGAAACCTCTCTACCTCTTGATGCCTGCAACCTCCTGTCGGCCTGGAGCAAACAAGACGGGCCCATCCCCGTGCCCACTCGAGAGAAGCAGCGTTGCCCGGACCGCGCTAACTCTTTTGTGGGGGAAGGGATGGGCGCCGGCAAGTCTGCCCTGAACTGAGAGAATGCGCACGCACAAGGGGGGAGGACGGGACGGGTCAGCCCGGCAGAAATGAGGAACTTTCTGATGACGGGAGATGAAGGAGACGTGAAGCAGGCAGGCCATGCAGACAGTCCTTTTGATGGTTCGAGGTTTGTCTTGGGTTCTCAATTGACACTTGACGAGAGCCTCTTGTCATGCTTGTGCCGTCGCGCCGCCGAGGGAGGGGGGGTCATGCTGCTCTGAGCCGTTGCCGGGTCGCACGAGCGTGTCCTTTTCCTGGTTGTGCATGTATGGAGGGAGAAGAGAAGGACACATGTGGACGCTCGTGCGGCTCCTTTTCCCCGGCTGGCCTCGTGGAGAGAAAACGCATGACAAGTTTGTGTATGGATTGGATCGGCTCGCGGATAGGCTGGCTGGCTGGCTGGCAGGATGGCTGGTTATCTCGGATCTGAGCACGGCACTGTCAGTCTGGGCAGTTCCACAACATACACGGCATATTGATGACGGGAGGGGTGAGGGTGGGAAGCACACTTACGGGAGACCAAAGGAGGATATGCCCATGTTACAAACGATGGATGATGGGCTCGCGTGCGGGCGGAACTGGATGGTCGGATCTGCAAATAACATGGTTAGTCTAGGCATCTCTCGTGGCATTCCGGGGCAGTAGGAGGGGGACTGACGAGACATGGAGGCTTCGACCAGGCCTTGAACGATGCGGATATTGCAAAGAACGGGTCAGAACCGCCTTGTATGGTGGCTTGCCTTGGGACCATGCTACGCCGCAGGACAGGAGCAGCACGATGTTGACCGAGTGCTCTGACTGTTGTTGATGGTGGTTTGTGTGTGTGTGTGAAAGAGGTGTAGGTCTTTCTTTTTGGGATTCATTTTTGTGCGGACTTTTCTTTTGCTTCTGGTCACTCTTGGAAGCGATGAGTCTTCATTTTGATACAGATGGTCAGAGATTGGCAGCTTGCGAGGTGCCATATCATCTATATGTCCCCATCTCACTCTCGCTGGATGTCTCGCTGTTTACGACGGCTAGGTGAGGTCAGATGAAGCAGAAGCAGATGGAGATGGACAAGCGAATTCCACATGGATCAAGACATACTGGCGGATATCATATTCACACAAGTCAGTTTCGGATCAGCACATGGATGGGTCGTTATCGGAACCATACATATACATGGCCGTTTTCTGTTTGCTGCTCTTTTTGGCCAGAGAGAACAAGTCTCTCTACTATGTACCGTCATGGACAACCCGTCTCTCTCTATCTCTCTCTCCATCTTCCTTACTCTGGTTGATAACCAACCTCCCCTCTACGTCTATTTCTTTTGCCTGTTCCTTTTCCCCTCTCGTCCATCTTTCCAAAACCTCTCTTGTTTTCTCCTCCTTCTTTCCCCCCTTTTTGCCCGTCATGATCCAGCACGCCCAAAATCTCTCCGAGACTCCCAGACGCATGTTTATCCGAATCTGAATCTCCCATCTCTTGTCTGTCTCACCTCTGCCTGTCTCCATCTGTCCATCTGTCTCGCCCTTGTCTCTCCTATCCCCCCTCTCCCCCCCTCTCTGTCCCAGCCGAGATGTCGACTCCCTTTAGACGTCAGGGCTTGCAAGACAGTCCCTTCACCGACAGCCCCTTGGCCGCCCAGTCCATCGCCGATTACAGCGACGCGCACCGTCTCAGACTTGTGGATCACCACCAGGACAGCGACGCAGGTCAACGGCGTGCCTACGTCGCCGCCCTCAACGAGGTGGCCGGCAAGCATCTGCTCCCCCAGGAGAGACAGTTTCTCGCCCGTTTCAACCAGTCCCAGCCCCAGACGACCTGCCACAGCCGGCCCATCGCCGGTCCCTTGCCCGACCGCTCACCCCCCGGCACCCCATCCACCACGCTGACCGACATGAACCTTGAACAACGCGCCCAACAGATACCTAGGCACTCGGCCAAGATCGTCAACCTCTGGGAGCACGAGGTCCGCGAGGGACACGTCACCGATCGCGTCAGGACCCGCCGCGGCACCCGCGGCGGTGAGTCGTCCAGGCGCAAGCAGGCCGCCATCATGATGCCCCCCGAACCCCCCGAACCCATGCCTGACCGCCGGGCCCTCCCTTCGGATGTCTCGGACGTGGCATCAAACGCCTCCACCGCCGGCTTCATCTCCCACGCCAACGGCCTCGTGCTGCCGCAGCCCTCGCCGCCGCTGTCGTCCACCCGCCACGACGAGCGCCCACCGAGCGGTGTCGCTGGTGATTCTACTGGCATTGCGGCAGCCCACGTCCAAGAAGTGGCCCCCCTCTCCTCCTCTTTCTTCTTCTCCGCAAACGACAACGGTTCCAGAGCCTTCCCCCGTCCCAATCAGCTGCAACAACCAGAACCTTCCATGCGAGACACGTCCAAGGACGACCATAACAACGCCCGCGCGCAGCTGGAGCATCTCACGCAGGAGCTTGTCAGTGCCCAGAGCAGTTACAAGAAGCACGCGCAGGCCTTGGTCGACGTCGATGCAGAGATCAAGCACCTCAGCGCCTGTGTACTCCGTCTCACGTTCCAGGACAGCCATCACCAGCAGCAGTTTGGCGCCTAGCATGCGCAGGGCCGCAATCAGAGGGGGGGAACCGGACGCTGACGGCCATGACACGCACTCGCCGCCATCGTATGCTGCACAAATCCGTCCCCCTTTGTGAAGAGCAAATAGCGGCTGGCTGTATCTTGGCCTGATTTGCTGCAATTCCTGCTGCTCCTCTCTTGAGACAGGTTCTGCGTCTTTGCGAGCGACAACCTTTGACGGGAAATCACTCTGTCAACAAACTGATATTGTGTGCGAGCCGGCTGGTGAAGCGGATGCAAACGAACCTGTCGGTTCCTCCCCCGTCGGGCGGGGCAAACCATCGTCAACTCATCAGCATCATCATCATCATCTTCTACATGATCATCTTCACCGTCTTCACCCTCATCAGCACCTGTTCCATCATGCCTCTCAACAACGCCGCGGCTCGCCCGACCAAGACGGTAAGCAGCAAACTAAACAAACAAAACCCTTTGCCCTTCCTAAAGCAAAGCGGATTCGCTAACTATAGGCCTTTCGCACGCAGCACTTCCACGGCCTCGAGATCAACCCGCAGATGCGCATTCACTGGAACCTCAAGGAACGCATCGTCATGCTTAGCCACATCGCCAAGCACCAGCTGACGAACCTGTCCGTCGACTACCGTATCCAGGAGCTGCACCGCCGGCTCGGCATCAGCAACATGGGCCAGAAGTACATCGAGGTCATATACCCCCGCCTCTTCACCGCGCTAAGGGCGCGCATCGACATACTCAGGTCCAGCCCAGAGCACAGTCCGATGCTCGTCGGTGTCGTCGAAAAGGGCGGCCAGATGAGGTTGTATGTCGCGCGTTCCCTTTCCCCAGTTGTCCGGTGATGACACTGACTGACACTTCTTCCCTGTCCAGCTACCCCAAGTTCATGGATACCTGGGCCCGGCATGGCTGGGACGGCGACATTTCCAAGCCCCCGCATCACGAGGTCGACCGGCAGCACGACGATCAGGACGAAGCCTGTGTGATACTGGACGAGGTGGAGCCGGAGCCGGAGCCGGAGCCGGAGCAGGAGGGACAGCAGCAGGAGGGCGACGTCCGGGATGAACGCGAAGCCGATGACTCGGTCGTGCGAATCGAGCTGGAAGCAGATTCGGCTGCCTCAATCATCTCGCCCCCGACTCCGGCTCCCGTCGTCATCCCTTTGCCCGGCCTGGCTCCAGCTCCAGCAGGAAGCCTCGGCAAACCCCCTCCGTCGCTCAGGCGCCCCAACGGACCTCCTCAGAGCAGGGTCGAGAACGGCTTTGGTACTGGACGGGAACATTTCACATTTCAAGGCGCTGCGCCGCCGTTGCGTCCCTTCCAGAGACCCGGCGCGGCGGGCTCGGCGGCCCGCCCAGATTCTCATCACCGGGCCGGCCTCCGCAGGTCTCGCGTCTTCCATTCCGGCGGCTCCAAGATCCCTCTTTTGGTTGGCGGGGTACCCATGCTGCCACTACCACCACCACTATCACCACCAATCCCGGGATTCGCTCATCAACAACACCTGGCGCGCGATGCCGCCGCCGTCACCGCGGCGCTTGCCGGGTCCTCGCCCCGCCGACGTGCGCTGGTACTCGCGACGCCCTGCCACGTCACGCACGAGATGCTCAATCAGTACAAAGCCTCTATGATGCGGCTCGTCGAGCTGGACATGGAGCGTCGGCTCTGCGAGGTCGAGGCGGTCAAGTACCGCGTCCTGGCCGACGCCGAGACGGCCGAGGCGCGGACGCGCAGAGCGAGACAGATCGTTGCAGACGACGCCTACGAGGTGCGCTCCAGGCTTGTCTATCTTGACCGCGAGCTTGAGAGGAGGGGTTACACGTCCGGCGGCCAAGGGCTCGGCCTTGTAGCCGCCTTATCCCTGGTATCCCTAGGATTGGCTTTGGAGGGGCCGGCATGGAGCGGCGGGAGGTGAGAGCGTTTGTTTCTTCCCGCTTTTTCGTTCTTGTTCGACTCATCTTACTGCTGATTGAAGCCCCTTTTCCGTGACATTGATGTAAAAGAAATAGGAGGAAGACGTTGGGTTCCTGTTCCGGATCCTCTATAGCTAGGTATTAATGCGCATGCTTCTCTTGTTTCCCTTCTATCTCCCTCCGTCAACCATCCAATCTTGAGCGTACTTGCCCCTTTTTATCCTCCTTGGCCGGCGTACATGGACAGACTTTGTTGCTTCTGAGCGGACCACCCCAACCTGCCTTTAGTCACCTGGGCACACGGCCTCAAAGCCGGCACCACTGGAACGGCCAAAGAGCGGGATCCTTGACGCCGTCGGCCTAAGCACGGGCAGGACATGGTTGACATACTCAGCACGGGCGCCGTCCTCCCACAGAAGCGACGCTACCGCGTGGATCAGCCCTTCTTCCTCAACGACGCCGCCGCTGTCACCCGTGTCAGAGCCCTCCATCATCAGCTGCCGAACGGCCGCGGCGTTGTTTGACCTGCAAGCCTCATCTCGGCAGGGCCTGTCGGCCGCGTCCAGTTCCAAGAGGCGTGCGGTCCACGCCTTGGAGACGGCGGCCTGGCCCAGCCCGGCGTCTGGATCGAGTCCCAGGTACTCGAAGAGTTCGGGGTACGGCACCGGCGCGGCCGGGGTGTCCCCCGCTGGGAGCGTCTGCTGGCGGCGAGCGTGGAGCCGGCGGATCACGCGGCAGATGCGGGCGCGTGTTGGGGTGACGGCGTGGCCGTTTCTGCCTTCGATTGGTTCTGAAATATGCTTCTTGAGGCTCCCGGGACCGTGTTGCGTCGAGTCCCCGCCCGCATCTCTGCTAAGGCTCGGGCTGTACAAGTAAAAGATGACCAGTCCGATAAGCAAAACAAGCGCCACGCGGTCAACGAGTGCTATCTTGGTCGGACGGCGCCGACTACACGGGGCGGGAGTTTGTTCCGGGACCGGGCTCCGTGATAGCATATGCGTATTGTACCTGCTGTCGGACGGTATAGCGGTGACGCGTGGCTGGCTGTTGCGCTGTTGGCCCTGGGGTCTGCAATGAGAATGAGGACTATTGGACGGCCACATGGTGGAAGGCGTTGTATGTGGACCAAGGAATCTTGAAGCGAATGAGCGGTGTGCGCAGGTTGACTGTCCAACTTTGGGCACGGCGACGGATATGAATAACATCTTATTCTTTCACTTTGTCCCCCCTTCTACTCTCAGCCAGAGAAACGCCATGGTCGGCGATGGAACAGAAATACCATTATTTTCAAACTTGTAACATGTCGGCTTAGTTCCCGTCCTTTGTTCGTGTTTCGTCACGCGAAGCCCAAACAAGGTGGTATGGACCAGCCATGAGCATATTGGTCCCATTGGGAATCATTCCGAAACCCGTCCATTGTCCTTCTTTCCTTGGTTCTTGATGGGCACTTAGTTACGGATGGTTTCGAACAGGGGAGAGAGAAAGAGAGCAACCAGTTCGTCTGTTCTGTCGCGAATTGTCCAGAAGCCGTAGATGTGATGTGTCGCTCTTACTAGCCTCGACCTTTGCCAAGAGACTTATGTGACTGTGGTTTGTGTGAATGCAAAGAACTAATGCTTCTAACCACAGGATACAAGTGATTCCGTGTCTGTCCATCATACATGGCATGCTAGTCCCTACATAAGTTGGCGACAGGACGTATTGAATCCTCTGGTGCTAAGTAAGCTCACGTTACAAAACTCAACGACAACAAAACATTCAACATCTTATCAGATAGAAATCATGCCCTCCAGCTCGCGAAGAGAAGACCGAGAACGGGAGAACAAGACGTACAGACTGCTCCAAGCCAAGGTCCGGGCCGAAGCCGAAGCCGATGCAAAGCGTCACGCTGCTGCAGGAGCGCAACAGCGAGGACCAGCCCCCGATGAGGCTAAGCAGAGGCGGGTGAGGTTCTCAGACACGCCAGAAACATTTTGGTACACGGAATCGACACCCGAAGGACAGGGCAGCGAGGACGGGGGCAACAGAGACTACGAGGAAACGGCCATCAGTCAAGAGCCGTATGAGGATCATCATCATCATCATCAGCATCAGCAGCAGCAGCAGCACCCGGCCGGAGGCCATCGCGGCGAGAAACCGGAAAAGTACAGCTTCCGAGACGCCATACTTGTCGCGAGCGGAGCCACGCTCAACTGGACGACGTCGCATCACCAGGACTGCAGAGTCGCTGGCAGTCTTGAATCTGCGCACCCGGGCCACGGCAGCAACAATAAAAACAACAAGCGTGGCAGGCTGGGTTTCTTGCTGCGTCTTTTGCGTTTCTTCATCCGGCACTACTGCGTCGTCCTGGCGGTCCTGCTTGGTATCATCTCGTGGGTGGTGCTGGCCTGGTTCTGTGACGTTGTGCAGACCCGAATAAGAAGCGTGGCGGACTTGCTTTCCTCGCCGCTCGCATTGCCGCAGGCCGCCCTGTCGGGCCTGATGGGTGCTGCGTGGGGTATTTTGTCCCCGTCGGCACACGATGCCGGTCCCTGGAATCCCTCCTCTTCTACCGCCGCCGCCGACTTCTCCCCTATTGTTCCCGACCTCAGCACCGTCCTCGGCGTTGTCTACCGGACAGAGTCAGGGGTGAACGCGCTGTCCGAGATGACGACCAACGTGCAGCGGGATACGCAGCTGAATTCTGCCATGAATTTCCTGTTCACCATGTACGAGGCGACTGATCTGCACTGGATAGCACACCTCCGCGAAGAAGAGCTCGGCCTGTCCCACCTGACGTTGCAGCTCCAAGACTTTGCCGAGAGGGCAGGGCGCAAACGGCGGGTGCCTTTGCCCTGGGTCCTGTGTCGTGTCCCTCTTGTGAGCGGGCTGGAAACATGCAGGGCGTCTGCAGACAGGTTTGACGTGCAGATGCAAACCGTCCTCGACTTCCTGTCTGAGGCCAAAGAGTACCGGAACAGTGTATACAACAATCACATGACGGCCCCTGCCATGCACAAGGTCAGCAGGCTGGTTTGTAGGCTAGGCGACAGCTTTGGCCGTGTCAGTCTTGGCCTGAGGGAGACGGTGCCCGACGCGGACGTGGCCGGGTCACCTCTCATGGATGCCCATGTCCTCGATACCTATCTGCAAGATCAGCAAGACGGCTTGCGAATGTCCTGTCACGTCATTGTGGACATTGGCTCGGAAATGGCAGACAAACGTAAGCAGATGGATGACGACATCAAGATGCTGACCAGGATGACCAGGTCGATAGGGCATATACGGCTCAGCGTGGCGGACAACACACTCCAGGTGAACCGCGCGTGTAAGGCGGTGATTAAGGACCTGGGGATGCTGACGGAGAGGTTGAATTCGTGGTAGGCCCAACGTCGACCGTTGCTGGAGCCCACAGGCTGTGGGAGGTGAGGCGACGAAGTGGGCAATATTTGCGTATATTGCACCAAAGTGATGGTGGTGATGCGTGAAGCTAGGAAAAGAGCTAACTAGCCCGTGGGTTGGTGGGCCAGAAGGTGAGGGGCCGAGACTGGCCAATTTTGACGTCACGTGACCTATGGGTCCCCCTTCAACACAGGCATAACCAAGGCTTACTTAGTTACTGTCCTTAATAAGACAAGGCACGTCACATTAGTGGTGTTGACATCATTTAAAACATTCTTTGGTAAAAGATGCCCATTACCGTTGATTGTTCGCTTTTCTTTCTGTTGCTTGGTGCCTGCTTATGGAGCTACTTCATACTGCCAATAACAGTAAGACGCAGATCCTCAGCGGCCGCACAAGGACCCCATGATCAGCCCAACACCCACAACCTGAACATGTTGAGTCATGACCATCATAGCATGCTGTCATCAGCCTGCGTCATGAAAAGGGCCAAGGATCACGGGATGAAAGACCTTTAGTTACAGGCAGAAAGCGCGCTGCTCCGAGCCTTCCGAGTCCATTTGCACCATCAAGCATATTCTCGACAATTGTCGAGACCCGGAGTGTGTGAGCCTTACAGTTATTCTTACTGGGCGCCTTCTTTCTGGATTCATAAGAGCTGAGAGTTGCGCATGGCGTGTAATGAAAGGTTGGGCCAGAGCAAGGAATGCCATGTGCAGTGTGAAGGGGATCCAACAGTTTGGCAAGAAACTTGGGTGAGACTACTTCGGACAGTACACGATTTGTACACAATCAAGCACTCCTTTAACGTCTTGGTGTTAGGGACCAACCACCCAGCAGTCACCTATCCACTGCATCCTGAGGGTCTCACTCACTCACTCACTCACTCACTCACTCGCTCACTCGCTCACTCACTCACTTACCTACTTGATTGACCGTTAAAAAGGTGAGGTGGGTCTATTGCTGTAATCCCTACCAGCTATGGTCTGATAAGGATGCTGCTATCTGCCTACCTGCTGCTTTTGGACGCTAGTCCTGATGCTATTGGTGTTTTTAGTGCACCAAGATTCAGCCACGCGTCTGCGATGCGATGGATGCATTCTATGTGCGGTGCTAGACAGATAGATGTCCAGACTACTTGACAACATGCGCCAAGAATGCTTGCTGTAGGTAATCGTCTGTCTATCTATCCTATCTGTACTTGACCCCACGTACCTGTCTCATTGTGTTGATGCGGTTGGTGGATGGAATTAGTGACGTTATCTTTGTTGGCAATTGGCTTTGGTTTCGGAATTTGTCGTGATAATTGCATGTCTTGTGGCACCTGCCCTGGCCCGGGAGCACGCGGGTAACATTCCAAGAAGTGGCCGTGGTCGTAAGTACCTTCGGCGGCTCTGAAAGGCTGCCATGAGAAACAGCTGCCCGTACCAAGAAATTGACCGTGCCGAAAAGGCTGCCTAAAAAGCTGCCTATACCAGGCACCTAAAAGCTGCCACACCTCCAAGGATTTCTGCCTCTTGCGCCTCCACCCTACTTCCCCCTCTATTCCCATCTCCCTCCCCCCACCCTTCACCAGATCATCGTTGTTGACCATCTTTCCAGAATCAAGCGACTCTGTACAACGGCGGAATTTCTCCCGATCGGTTCTCACAGTTACAATCAACCCAGTCGGTCTGACTGTCAATTAGATTCTAAGATTACATGGAATTAATTACTAATATATGTTTTATCCAGGAATACCCTCTAACGCCGAGACCAAAAGAGCCCTCCGAACCAGCCCCCGCAAGGCATGCATTTCTCCATGACGCACCCAGGTTATCATCACCCTCCAGTTGCCATTTTTCCAAGATCCAACGCCCAAAAACTCACCCTCGTTCCACCTGACTCACATTACTGTTCCCTCGACCAAAACAAGCAACGCATTGCTGACAATCCCGACGACTTCCTGTTCAACATTGGTTTCCCCTGCACATCGACCCAGCGACCGCATTCGACTTGAGCGCAAGTACATGGAAGCGAGGGGCAAGGGTTGGAGTCAAGTTGTTTATTTTTGCACCTGATTGTGTGGGCAGGTCGGTGTTGTTGGTGGTGGTAGTGGTGGTGGTAATGAAATGAAGAAGAGCCGACTGGCTGACGGAAAGATACTTGGGTAGGCGAGGGTGCCAATAGGTGGCTGGTCAGCATCCCGTCTTGATAAAGTAATGTGACTGCAGGGGTTAGGGATGCGTGGAGGCGGGAGGTCCTGGCACAGAGATGGGGAATCTTACTGCTACCGAGATATCGGTTGATTGCTGCTGAATCGACCCAGTTGGGTAGTGAGGGTTGATCAAGGCCGAATCGACTCAGTAAATATACGTAACGCCAGCTGCACGCCGTCACAATCACGGCCGCACAGATCCTAGAGTACCATCTGGTTCTTTCATGGTTTGAGGTGAGGAAATGAGGAGGCAATTGGCCGAATGATTCCAATCAATTGAATAGTATGTTGCTGCCACGCGTCATTGCAACGCATTGCGTTGTCAAATAAATTTAGGCTGCGTTCCTGGATCAACCCAACTGGGTCAAGAACGCGCTAGGACCTTTCCTACGCCGCGCGCCACGCCATATGAACCGCGCCACGCCACACCTACATCCGCACGCCACAATGCCCCAAGGCACCTGTCCTCCTCGCATGCGTCTCTGCAACAAGAGCAGACAGCACGTTGGCGTACCTTGACCAGCGCCGACGCACGCCATCCATGTCGCCCATCACAGTGGACGTTACCCAAGTGTTGAACTAAACTCGATCGCCCTTTCACGTCTTCTCGTCCACAGTCAGTCAGAACATGCCTACTCTTCCCGCGCCGACGCCCACATGTGTCGCACGATGTAGGCCCGATACGCCGTCCAAAAGCCAGCCAAACGACCACGCCTTCCCAGGTACAACGGGTTGCTTGCCCGACTCGAGCGCAATTTGACAAACTCGTCGTACTCTATAGAAATGTCCACCACCGTGCCACCTCGTTCAAAGAAGCCTTGACAATGCGGCCCGGCACCCCCCCTCCCCCACGACTTCATAACCTCGATGCTCTCCACCATTTGTCTTTGCAGCCGAGCTTGGTTCCCAGCACGTCTCAACCAGCACCAATGCAGACACACAGGCAAAACAAGACGAGGAGCGCATGGACGAGGGGCTATAAGGCAGCAGGCATCGATCGTCAGGTTAGAGAGGTCTTCCCTGAAGACTGCATGTTCGGTGCACTCGATCCAAGATGCTGTGTCGTGGTCATTGCAAAGGTTGCCCACGAGAAGTTGCCTCAGCAGGTTATCAATTACGTCTGTCTTATTAATCTTGGACGGCTGGATTTGCTCAACTAGCAATGTCATTCAAGGTTGGAGCCATGACTAGGACGTGGTCACTGCGCGGAAACTGAGCTGTTAAGATGATGATAAATAGTGTGTGTGTAGATTTCAATCCATTTCCCTTTCATGGGTCACTGGCCACAGGGTTTAGCACCCACTCGCCGTCAAATACCATATCCGCTACTGTTGAAGTATGTGCCCTATGCTGCGCCATGAAAAGTTGGCTAGACCCCAGCTGGTTGTCCTTCTACGTCTTCACCTTGAGGAATGACCGGGGTGTAGGCAAACCATTGTCAAAGAGGTCATGTCTATAGCACACGCAGGGGGGACCTCTGTCCTGTGGAAATGGCTTTGTTCAGTGTGCCTGTCTGTACCTAGTCTACTTCTGTAATCATCTGGCATGTCCCAGATAGTGTCTGCCATCATTCCCCCCCCAGCAGACATTCCTCCAATAGCGCCATCATCCTACGCGGCCAGATCAGCCACGGGCTGCCGACTGTGGGTGTGTTGGTTTGGGCCAAGCCCCTGTCCTCCAAGTCCGACAATTGTGTGTATGATAGATGCGGTTCAGAATCGTAGATGGAGCCGTCGTCCGAAGAAGAATCATTATGGTACCGGAAGGCCGGTGGTGTGGGCGGCTTCTGGGTTTCTTGAAGGAGCTGTTGCATGTCTGGAAGGTCGAGTTCGTAGTTCCAAGAACGAGGACGTAGCGAGGGTGATGCACCCAGAATGGTGGGTTGAAACAAGATGTCGTGGATCGTGGTCGACTGCTAGTTTGACGTTGATTGGACATGTCCGCTTGCTAAGACTTCCCACCATCAGCCACGGCGACGACAGCAACGAAACGGGGGGATCAACGCCACCAAGGGCGGGCTTCGCCAGCTTACTTACACCCGCTTCGAAGTCGACCCAGCTCCACCAGGATTTCCGCATCTCGGGCGTGTTGATTCGCTCTGCGGGCGTGTAGCCGATCAACAAAGACGGACCGGTAGGGCGCGAACATGGCTTTTTGAGCTGGCGGCGCAGGAACAGTAGGGAGGTGTCTGTCCGAGGGACGAAGGCAAACCGGCGGATCAGGGCCAAGATGGTAGGGATGGGATGGGCTGCTTTTTAGTCCCTAACTGTGAGTCTGTGAAAACCAGTGTCAGCAAATACCTTGATCAATGCGTCTATAGCTGATAGTACCTGGCAATTCCGAGTCTGCAAGGCATCGTTGATGTGAGCTGACAGGCCTCAGCATGTTATGAAAGACTGGAAGCTCATGTCACAACGGCGGTAGAAAGGTCTAGCGTATGGTGTATGGATACCTACCTAGTGTACCTTCCTTGCCAGCTTTCCAGGCTCACCACTTGCACTGTCACGGGCGGTCCTTCCCCCTGTGGACGCATGCCCTTCACCGGGTGTGCCGTGCCAGACAGGCACACCACACCGGGATACCAGGTACCTCGGATCAGGTAGACGGACAGGCAGAACAAACAGACCCACATTAGCCACGAGGGACCTGCCTCAGAGGTGACGGGGAATGTGCCGTTGTCGGAACGTGACGGTTCTCTTGGGTTCGACGCTGCTTTCTCCAACACAGACACAAACTCTCTAGTGATAAGTTGAAAAGCACCAAGCCTCACGCGTAGGAGTGCAGTAGATTCAGACAGGAGTTAATACGGGTACATCCGATGTCGCATTAGAAATCTACAGCGCCATCACGGCAGCTTCTCAGGGGCATTCATCTACAGGCATTCATCTAACCGAGTTCGATTAACAGCTCGCAAGTCTTCGTCTAGAGCCCCAACGGCTTTTTCAAACGCCTTTTGGAGCTTTAATACGAGCTCGGACATCTTGTCCCCGGTTCTGTCCCCAATCTCCCTATTCACGTCTTTCAACCTTCAAGTCTCCAAGCTTCTGCTTGTCTCTTAAACAAGACTCGAAATGTCGCCATCTCCCGGTAAAAGGCAGGCCATTAAGGCCACTTTATAAGCCCGCTTTTGGTGTTTGATGTACTTTAGAACAGCCTTTTTTTTATCTTCCCTTTTATTCTTGCCGTCCTTGAATTTGCGACACGGCCGCCCGGGACCGCCTCTCCAATCGGCAAAGATAGCTATCAGCCGTGTCGTTACTAGAAGCCGGACAAACTTGGCGTCCATCCTCAAAAGCCTGCAAGTGTAGAGGGAGTTAGGGCCATCTGTGTCTCGCCTGCGCCTTGTTGAAACCGCGGCTGCGCATGTGGCCGTCTTTTTGGCTAACCATTTGGCAAGACTTGCTGAGGCCGGGCTCTTGTTAAAGAACAGAGAATTTGCGATTCAATGCAACGTTAGGCATTCGTCTCTCTTGAGGGCTTAGACGATTGAAAAAATGGTTTGGACCTGGGGGCGCTAGGCTTGCGGGGGGGGGGGATTTAGCTAGCAAAGGTTGGCTAGACGCCAGCTGCGTTCCAACTCGCCTTCAATCGATCTAGGTAAGCTGTCACCTTTCAGGAAGGTTCAAATGAATGATGCCACGAATTTGCCGTAGCTCACGCCATCTTGCTTCTACAGGCAGACCTTGGCCCCCAGGGCAGTAAGAGCAACAATTAGCAAGGGAATCAGAGTAATAGCTGACCTGTGAATAAACCTGTATGTTTCTCCCAGGGCATACCACGCGAAGCCATGATTTGAAAACGTTGATGGAACTGGTTCTCTAGTTCCACGGTTCTCTAGAGTGGAAGCTCTGGGAAGAGGCTGTCACCGTGGCCGCGTATTCATGGCTGTAAGCGTTCTATACCACCATAAGCAGTCTAGACCAGTTCACCCGGCACATGATAATCACGATACGTATAACCCGACATACGGCACCTCTGGACTGTGCCACATCTCAATCTTTAAGCAGATAATGCGTCAATACGGGAACCATCAGGAGCTAACATTGTCTTTTTGACTATAGCAACAGCTCTTTTGACCACAGTTCTAGTGAGCTTGAGTAGCCCCGCCCCCTCGACAGCATTGCGCAAGGGGGACTCCTGGCTCCCATCAAGACGCCAGTGGCGTGCCAGAGGTAATTACAAGTCCGGTCACACCCTTGATCAATTATTAGCTATTTCTCCCTTCTGCGCCTTGCTTGATGGGTCTTTGGCGATAACTGTGCTTAAGAGTCAGATCATCACCATTCACTCCCACAGCCATCACGTTTACAGCCACATTAAGTATTGGGCAAAAGTTTTACGACATCCTCTAGATAGCTCTTGACACGCTCTACTATATAGAACAGTAAAAAATGGGTTTGACCAGAACCGGAGATTGATATGGATTCGCACTGTAGAGGGTCAAGATGTTGGTTGTCTTACGGTATTAGGCGAAAGTTGAACCCATTACACGATAGCACGTGCTGAATGCTGTGACCCTATACATAAGTCTGACATACCGCTGTTACTCCTAGAGAAGACGGGTTCGCAACCAGGTCTGGATTTCCAAGTCAGCCCTACTAACTGCGTTACTGGTTGGCATCACCGGCGGAAAAGAAGGGCTTAACGGATAGTAGCAGTAGCACCTTGCCAAGCCTAGAAGCTAACAAAAGTAGCGGTGATGAAGAAGACGATGAATAGAAAGACAGCGAGCGGAAGAAGAAGTACTAGAATAGACTGCTACAAAGAGGAGGTTGCAAACCAGCCATCAGACGAATGTCTATTGCTGCCGATAAGGCCCTGCAGGTGTGCAAGCAAGCGCAAGAAAGCCAGGGCGGTAGAAGCGGCAGCCAGCCGCGGGCAAAAAAGGTCCAGCGCACCGCAAGCCACAGGCCAAGCGGCAAACCAGCGGCGACAAGAGCAGCAGACTCGCAGTCTGAGGGAACATGGCAGAGCATGCGACAGGGGATGGCAGGAAAGCCTTCTCGTTGGTGCATCGAGACCGGCACCAAGGGCCAATACTAGGCTAGCCCGGGCAAGCTGGACGTCTCAGGCTGCGTTCATTTGGACAGATACGGAAATGGCGCCTTGCCATGGTGGCCTTTTTTAGATTTAAAGGAGAAGGAGATTCTGTTGAGAGTGGCGAGCTCGTTTGTTGACCTTGAGTTGTGGACGCTGGCCAGCAGCAAACAGGCAACGAAACGGGAAAAGGCCTAGTTTAGTAGAACGGTAAGCGGACTTACCAGACGACCCGTGAAAGAGAGAGCGAATAAAGAATTAACTCTCACGATACCTGCTGAAAGACAGCTACGCGAACGGTGGCTAGGGGACGCTAGGCCAAGTTCACGGCAGCATTAGTCATATTTCATATTGTCATGTTACTGTGATACATGGCATGATTCCGCACTTATAGGCAGCGTATCTCGCCTACCAGTATGATTATATAGGCAGGCAACCTAAGTAATAAGTATATTTTGTGTGCTATGGCACATGGAAAGACTGATACTACTATGTAAGTGCGTGTAGTGCATGAAACCATCGTGACATATTGCGACGTCTGACACACCCCACGACGGGCCCGGAGGTGGGGATGACCAGGGGAGATGAAATCGTCCAGGATGTGATTTTGATAAGAGCCTTTGAGCCCTTCCATGTATACGTGGTAGATGGTTCATCTGTTGGTTGCCTGTTCTGGCATTGACGTCGGTTCCAATTGGGCCACGGCCGAGATTTGGAGTCTGTCTGGTGGTGGGGGAAGCGGGGTGCAAACTCAAGGTGAAGATAGGGGCATCCATCCCAGTCAGTCGACGCAAGGACAAAGGTTGGGTAAAATTAACCGTTAGGGGCCTCCCATCGAGGGTCGACAGGATTACCCAGGCGAATTAATTCCCTGGGGCCGCAGCGCCGTCCTTCTAGCTGACAAGTCCCTGGAAGTATTGGGGCGCGTAGTCAGACAGCGGGACATCTGAATGCTCTGTTGTGTCGCTGTTCAGGTCCCCCCCGTCCGGTCACATAGACACAAGGCAGCCGTCGCTATAACTATTACTAGAAAGTAGCACAAAACGTTAGCTATTGATTCCAGAGATACAACCAGGTGAGAAAAGAGCACGCATGGGGTGGTGGAACACTGGGACGAGGGCTCTGATTCCAAAACATCATGACAGTAATGACCATGGCTTTTAATGTACCCGTTGATGCATACCACTGCTCGCTCTTTGCCAATCTTGTCCACAAACACTTTTCAGCCGAGAACGACGGCATGCCAAGATGAACAAGGTTTTGATCTCAGTCCATTCATGTGGGCTGCGCTTCGGATGTCGTATATGGAGGGAGAGAACTCGGTCAGGTCGATCAAAAGGTCAGGTTCGTAGCTCAGTCTTCTCTAGACCCTCTTGTTCCTAGGTGGGAGAAAGAGGGGAAACAAAAAGCAGGAATTCTTTTTGGTTTGTTTTATTCTTATTCATCTTGTTGGTGATTTGAGAGAATCGCGTGGCCAGAGGAGGACGGTCGCAAAAGCGGTGCGGTGGGGGGTGTGGCTACAGTACGTACCCTCCAGTGGCTAGCGCACGATTTTAGACCTGGAAATCGTGCGCTAGCCACTAAAGCAAGCCTACATCTAGGTAGCATGCTAGTGTGTGCAATGTACCTGCCGAATCTTGAACCTCGCGTTTCGAACATGAGCACAACAAACACTTCACAACCACAATCAACACATTGCCGTTAACAAGAAAAGTACACGCCTCTATCTTTACCTCTCTCTGTCAGCCCACTTCATGGACAAATTATCACGCAGAGATTGCCGTCCAATGTTTGGCCCAACAACAGCAGCCTCCTCTATACATGCCTTAAGCATCTCCACCGCCCGTATGCTAAGAAACTGACGCTGTTTCAAACAGGAGCATCCCGCGACGATACCTGAGCCCGAAAACATACGAGCCCATCGCCGCGAGCGAGAAGCAATAGTCCCAAATCTGCTTTCTCAAGCTACGATACCGAACCAACATTTCTTCGAACGAACATTTCTTGAGAGACGGTGGAGAGGGAGGACGAGGAGGAGGGTACACAGAGAGACTTCGGCCAGCCTGCGTGTGTAACTCTGCGTTTAGAACCGGGGCAGCGCTTGAATCCATCCGGTTCATGTTCCATCTGGTACACAAAGAGACTATCGGGGAGACACAGGGAATCTATTGATGGAGGAGGAAGGGATAGGAGCGGACATGGTCAGCAGCAGCAGCAGCGGCGGCGGCAGCAGCCTCTCTAGAGTGGCGTCGTTCGCTGACAGCCTCGACCAGCAAGCTTGTCGCGTAATAGTATTACACACACATCTGGGACTCCTGGTTTGTGGCCAGTCTGTGTGTCGTACACCGACATCACCCAAAACTCACTCTCTCACGCCTCTTGAAGGGGTACTCTGCATCGCGGCATCGATCGGCCTGTTGTAAATGCGAGCAACTCGGAATGCGCCGCAGCCCTCTCTCGATTTCATTGGGTACCTCCCAGTAGCTACGCACCCTTGTCACAGTCTCGCCGCTAGCCATGTCTCCTAAACTCGCGTTCCTTGCTTTTCTAGCACATGCTTTCGTCGATAAGAAACCACATCTTCTTGACCGGGTGGCATCGCCTCTCCTTCACTCACTATACACCTTCTTAGCTGCTTGCTTGCTTCTAGCGCATCGCGGCGCGCCTCCATCATGTCAAACAGATCCTCTAGCTGCTTGCAGATCCTGTCCATCTGATTATGCGTCTCCCGGACTCGGTCAAGCGTGGCTGAATAAACCTGCCCTCCGGGGACCGTGCCAGTTGGTGGAGATAGACTTCGCGTTGGAAACTCCTGTCCACTTCCTGTTCTTATTGAGCCGCCTGAGCCGACTTCTGCGCCTGGAGTCTCTCTAGTAATTGGTCGGTGCTCGTGACATCCTAATTCTCGCGAGTAAACTGGGCCAGGTTGCCGCCACCTTGCTTTTCCCTGTCGTGGTCTGGGACCGGACACGCCACTTCCGCTCTAAGAAAGATTGCCAAGAGGTGTCTGGCGACTCTAATGTTGACTGTGCCGCAAACCGGCTTGCGTGATATGACCAAGAGAACGGCGAAAAAGGCGTGGATACCTGAGTCCTCGACCGCTGTCTGGAGGCCGGTTGCGCCCCAGATGAGAAGGAAATTTCCTCTCGAGGAAGCCGGAATATAGTGGTGGATAATAAAGGCGTCAACATACCTTTGTGCAAGCTGGAAGTGCTCGCTTGAGCCCGTTGGCGCAAAAAGGTAGGCTCCTGTCGCCCTTAGCGCCTCTTGCTCAACGATACAGGCTATCCATTGATTGCCGGCGGGCAAGGATGGGCACAATGGTGACTTCTTCCTGGCTGACACCTCTCGCGACGGGTGCGTTTGGCATACACTCTTGCTGCAATATTGCATCGGCCTCCCGTTTATCAATGCAGTTAAACCTCCCACCTTAGCTCTAGGCAATACGCTCTACGGCCATGTCAAAGTACTCCATCGCCAGCGGCTGGCCCTCGGTCTGCACCGCGTCTACGGCCTGCCCCGCCATTAAAGCCATAGAAGATTATGACTTGGTTCGGCGTTGTTTGTGACTGTGGTCGGATGCTTGGATATATGACGCCCCTTTGTCAGTAATCCAGCTTGCGCTTGACCTTAGGACTAAAGTTGCTGCTAAGTGTGTGGCTTTGCTTGCTGAAAACTTGGACGTGGCAGAGTCTGCTACCTCTGACTTGTGACCACCCTGGTCCTCAGTATCGTTTTGCCTACTGTTGGATTTGTAGCTGTTGTTGTTGCAATTCTAACTAAAGCTGCCGTCTTCCCCGTTTTAAGATCTGATGTCTTCTTCGTCTTGTCGCCTGGGCCCTTTTGATGGTCGCAAGTGGCGCTATTGGTACTGCTGTCGTGCGTCAGATCTAAGACTCCAGATAAAAAATCATCATCCAGGGCATCAGTGCCAAATCTCTCGTCTCTCTCAATGTCTGGACTTTGCCCGTCTCTAGAGGGACTCGTTCTAGTAATCGAACCTTGTTGGCCGCTCTCAGCATTTGTTGTCAAGACTTGTGTATTGAGGAGGGACCTCTTACCTGGTGTAGAAGCCCTTCTTCGGCTCTGCTCGGGTGCAAGACCTGCGCCTCTAGCTGCTCTGCGGATCTGATAGCGGGAATACCTTTTGTCTGTTGTCTGAGACTTGGATAGGTAAAAATGCTCTTGGGCGGCTTGGACGTTGTTAAGGGTTAGGCCACGCCATTAGCGTCTGCCTGCCGTTTCAGGCGTCGTTCTGTTACAAAATAACACAACAGTTATAGGACTGCATCCCAATCACGGGAGAGGTTGGCAACGTCAGCAAGAGCTCAGAAAAAGTTGTGACACTGCTTAGTGATATCGTACGAGATGCAGAAAAGAAGGCGGTTGTCAGGTATGCCAAAATTCTCTGCAATTTTCCGGACTTTGGGAGCACTTTGGACAGACGGGTGCAGGAGGTTAGTCGGAAGGGCAGCATTAACAACTTGTATTGCGTCGGCTGGGATATAGCGGCGCACGTCGTAGGGGTGGCGCCTTTGCCAAGCGTGCCTCAAGCTCGAGCAAGCCCGTGTATATTTGAGCACGATGGTCAGACATGGAATCAAGTAAAGCTTAAAACTCTCTGTACATAAGGGGTCAGAGAGGTGTTCTAGAGGGTCAACATACCCAGCTGATGTTAGATGCATGCGTAACGTAAGGGAAGAAATGTACCAAAAGCTGGCAATGAATGAATTGCTCTGTTAAACTCGTAAGCACAAGAAAAAAAAACGAGATAAGGGAAAGGAAAAGGTTGGTGTTGAATGTGTGTGTGCGTGTGTGTGTGTGTGTGAGAGAGAGAGAGTGTGTGTGTGTGTGAGAGAGTGAGTGAGTGAGAGTGAGTGAGAGTGAGTGAGAGTGAGTGAGAGTGAGTGAGAGTGAGTGAGAGTGAGTGAGAGTGAGTGAGAGTGAGTGAGAGTGAGTGAGAGTGAGTGAGAGTGAGTGAGAGTAAGTGAGAGTGAGTGAGAGTGAGTGAGAGTGAGTGAGAGTGAGTGAGAGTGAGTGAGAGTGAGTGAGAGTGAGTGAGAGTGAGTGAGAGTGAGTGAGAGTGAGTGAGAGTGGGTGAGAGTGGGTGAGAGCGAGTGAGAGAGAGAGACGACGCAGCGTCTGCCTCGTCGGGTGAGGTGAAGTAAGATGTAATCATATAATAGATACTATGTGTATCTTTGTCGACTGTGACTAGACCACGAATGCACCTCGGTTGACCAGCCATTAGACGTTGACTTGGCAAGGAACCGAGACGGGCCTCACGGGGAGTGGTAGCTTCTTTCTTCACATAGTCGTCGCCATTGCTCCTGTGCAACCTCAAGAGCAACCGCACCGCCTTGGGATACGTACCTTGATTGGTGCTCTCCCTTGTCTCAATGGCTGAGTGCCGTACCTGCCCAGCGTGGTAAGTGTGCTGAGACTCGGGCACGAAGCAGCAAACTGGATTGGAACACTGACACTCGTTACACTGACACTTGTTGAACCCACCAACACGTACCGGCCCTGTCAGTTTTACCTTGGCGTCGCGACCGCGAGGCGTCTGTTCCAGCATGACAGGTATGGTGCGCGTCAGATGCCGACATCTCAGAACAAAGAGCGTCTAAAGGTCGCGACGTAGCGGGACAATCAATTAGGGCAGGCTTTGTCAGAGATAATAACCAACACAATGCAGCTGTCTGGCGACAAGAAACAGCACCTAGCTGGCTCGACTGTAATTAATAGCTCCCAAATCGTGCGCTAGCCCCTGGAGCGATATTTGGTGGCAAGTACATGCTGTATGTACCCCTGCAAGCGCACGATTTTAGGCGTAGAAATCGTGCGCTAGAGCCTAGTAGTACCTATTCCCCTCTCCTACCCCTTGCCATAGGTACAGTACAAAGGGCAGGTCCCCCATCTGAAGCAGTGCGTCATCCCAGTGCGTGCCATCTCACTAAACAGCAACCTATGCCATCTCCCCAATCAGTTCATCGCCAACTTTAGGAGCGGCCTCGTCAACGGATTTCTTCTCTATCAAGGCGTTGGTCGTAACTTGACAACATCATGGCCAAGGACAAGGACACTGAGCAGAACAAGGAGGGAGAGGCGAGGCGAGAAAGGAGGAGGGGTTAGGAAGGGCAAGTGGGCGATAGCCGGTCGCTGAAGTAGAAGTTTGGAATGATGATGGATGCGACCAACTTGGCGTGCAACTTGATCGTGGTGCTTCTCATGCGGCAAAATGATAGCTGTTGGCGGCAGAGGCACAATGGTGCTATTCCTAATGATACTTAGCGCCTCCTCGTGCTGGCGTTGCGGTGTAGATACTGTGGTCGCAGGCCCGGAGATGATGGTGCCGTTTGCTGATGTCTTCACCGGCGAAGCGACCTATAATCTCCTGCTCCCCAGTAAGCCCCTGCCGTCCTTCCCCCTGCCAGATATCTACAGCGAGCTCGCCGGGCTTTCCTACGGTCTACGAGGGACAACCTGTGGCCCTATGGCGTCTCTCCAAGTGTTAAAGGTGGGTGCCTGGCAGAAACGCACGCACCATCCTGGGCGGGCAGCTTTTTTGGGCAGGTAGTATTTTTGGTTACTGGTATTTTCACAGCCTACCTGCCACCTGTCTACTAACACTACTACTTGTCACCTGTCTACTACTACCACCGCCTGTCTACTAACACCACCACCTGTCCACACACTACCAGTACACTACCTAACACCACCACCTAGAAAAATAGCCTCAACAGGCAGAGCAGAAGAAATAGACCAAAACAAAAGGTCAATTTGATGGTGCTAATGATGATGCAGAAGGGAAAACACCCCCTCAAGGTGCCAATCAATTGGGTCAGATAGAGGGTGTGTTTAGGCAAGGATTTGCCAATTTGTAGGTAGTTTTAAGCTTTGCTCTTGAGGCCATCTTGGGCTAGGATTTGACCGATTTTGGTGCTAAATTAATTGATCTAAATGACTGGAAGCAGGGTGGGGCCTCTTCTTCTGGGGTTTCTAGAAGGGGAGACCAGAAAAGATTCGCACCGAGTAAAAGGTCAAAACCCGGTATCAATTGAGTTGTGTAAAAGGGATGTCTAGTCTAGGTTTTTTCTTGACAAGTAGTGGGTGCCCAAGACCCCCTTGTTTCCCGTGGGTGCCTCAGTCCCAATTTGTCAATGCCTGAGGCCCAAACACACCTGTCGACTAACACCACCACTTGTCTACCACCACTACTTGTCCACTAACACCACCACCTGTCCACACACCACCAGTACAGTGGCGGGTCAAAAGTATCCGAACTTACCCCACCTAACGCGTCGCGTCAGAATTTCCTCTACACATCTCTCCTTCTAACAACTCCCATAACTTCAGCAAAAAATGGGTGATTTACAGTTACTTACTTCTCTTTTATCAGAAAATCGTAAGGCAAAAGATGAGCTTTTGGAATTTTAGCGTATTGTAATTGTTGCCTTAGTTGCGTCGGGTTTTACCTACCGCCAGGCTGCTAACGCGTATAGCTGCTCTATTAGCACCATAGCTGATACTCTTCACCGGTTCCGTCAACACCGCACCTTTAAGTCCTTACCCCGAAAAGGGCGTCCAGAGAAACTTTCAAAGCGGGAGAAACGGGCTATTATCAGATCTGCCCGATCTAATTTCCGGCAGACGTACCAAGAGCTTGCCAAAGAGTGGAATAGCAGAGTTAGCGTCTCTACTATTAAGAGGATTCTACGCGGCGCTAACTTTCGCAAATGGCGAGCTATGAAGAGGCCATTTATTACAAAGGAAGCAGCAAAGATGAGGCTTGAATTTGCAAAAGAGTGGCTACCAAAAGTTGAAGAATTAATAGAGGTACTCCTATTCTTACTCAGGCCTCTCATCTTGACCCTCTTGCTAATTATCCTCTTCACTAGACTCAGTTCTCTGATGAGAGCTCTTGCCAGAATAATACCTCATCTCCCTCTGTTTGGGTATTTAGATTACCTCAAGAACGCTGGGATAAGCAATTCATCAACCTTACAAGCCACGTCAAGGCAGATATTTCTATCATGGTCTGGGTAATGGTGTAGAGGACTAGCTAAAGCAAGCTTATCTTTCTTACAAGAGATAAGAACAGCAAAAGGAATAGATATAGCTCTAATAGCTATATATTATGCCTAGAAGAGGGATATCTTCCTAACCAAGATAACACACGTTATTTTATGCAGGATAACGCTACTATTCATAGCTTAGAGAAGACCACTAAGTGGATGTTAAATAAGGGAATATCCTGGCTACATTAGCCTCCTTACTCACCCAATCTCAACCCAATTAAGCACTGTTAGCAGATAATAAAGAATAACCTACAAAATACATACCCAGAAGCATTTAATCTCAAGAAAAACAAATTAGATATTAGTAAATTTAAGGAGCAGTTACAGGTAACGTGGGATGCTATCCCACAGGAGCATATTCAGTCATTAATTGAGTCAATGCCGCGGCGCTTAGAGGCAGTTATTAGAGCATATAGTTAGTATACACAATACTAATCAGTAAACTTAGAGCTTTATTTTTACTATAGTTCTACTATATATTTCAAAAAGTTGATGGTTTTGTAGCTAGATAAAGTGAGGGGGTAGAAATGCAGGTGGCTGGTGTAAGTGGGTGCGTTCGGATACTTTTGCCACCCCACTGTACACTACCTAATACCACCACCTCCACTGCCTTTCAATACCCCCGCAGCCTCAACTCAGGCGCCGTGCTTGGTGCTCTTGACGGAGAACACGTCGACCTTGCAACCTGTTTCGGGAAAGGCCGCGATAACAGGTCTCGACAGCACTGTTCCCACGCATCAGGAATGACATGCAATGGATGCGGCTGCAGAATGCTACAAGCTCACCGCTCCACGCCTTAATGATGGCCCTTACCATGTTCCGCGGCAACGACAAGAAACACGCTACGATGGCTTCCATCTGAGCTGCACGTGCTTCCTTTACTTGATGAAGCTTGGGGTTCCGTGGGTCGGAGCGTTGTAGAATGGGTTGAATACCCGTCGACTTTGACTCGTCTGTGTTGTTCTGTTCCTTGATCTCTTCCCCAAAGGGGCTGATGTGGCATCGCTGGCGACCGGTTGGTGGTCTCCTGGGACATGGTGGAATATCGGTAGTCGATATGATCTGGCAAGGCCTGAAGCTCAAGGCTTTCGCGCGAGAGGTCGAACTGGTCCAGACTATCCTGGGAGACGGAGGCTCTCATGAAGGTCAAGTTGAATGGAATGACTGGTGTCGTTGGGAAGACAGGCTGCCCATCTCCTCCTGCCATAGTGGCATCTGGCACAACAAAACCCTCGCGAGGACGTGGTTAGCCGACAGGGAATGCACGCCTCCGCGCTGCGGCTTTGTACATGGTTGGTTCCCTGTGGCTGTTTACAGTGTGGCTGCTTTCAAAGGGACGTGTAGCAGGCAAAAGGCAAACTTAATTAGTGTAACAACGGCAGTGCTAATAAAGTTTGTAGAATTGATTCGTGTACTAGAAGAAATCAATAAGAATAAAAATACAAAAAGTAAAATCTATCCAATCACCATATCCATGGCTAGCCTAATCTCGGGGGCATTCCCTCTTGATGATGGTGAGAAGCTCCATGACATGCTGCTGATACGGAGTGACTCGAGCAGAGGAGGCCCTGGTCATCTTGTGTTTCCCTTTGCTCTTCTGCTTTCCCATTCGGTGTTGTTTCCTACAACTAGCGGCGGCGCCACCTGCTTTAGAAGCCCTGGTGGCAGTCAACGTCCTAGAAGAGCGCTGGTCCTGCAAAGGGATGAGTGGATAGTGAGGTTTCGAGGGGGCCGTGGTGGGCACAATAGAAAACGGGTTGGGCGCATTCTCAAACAACAGACGCGCTGCGGTATTATCGTGACAAGGAGCAGCAGTGGGATGCGGTCGCTTCTTCACACAATGCTGACGGTTCTCGTGCATCGCGCCAGGATCCCCTGCAAGGTCGGATTGATCAATTGCCGAAGGCCGCAGGGGATTCACGCAACCCGGAGGGTTGTTAATCGTGGTTGGTACTACCTCCAACGGTTGAGCGACTATGCCGGGAGTCATTTCGGGAGTCACCAAGCGTATCTGAGGGGGAAACTCGAGCGGTCGTACAGTAGTTGTTGAGGTCCAGGGCAAAGCGCAGTGTATATTGGAGCCTCTGGTGATGGTGTTGTCTGTGCACCACACGGCATCAAACCCGGCGATTTGGTCAAGAGGCAACAGATGAGAGATGTCGGCCTGCATAGTACCCAGTATATGACGTGTAAGATGTGATTCTGACAAAATGGCTCTTTGGGTTTGAGGCATGTACAATTGGTCTTGGTGCTGATGGGTGGGGTCCCCGGGATACGACTCTGACCAGAAGAACTGTTGCTCTGGCAGCTGAGGCAGATACAAGGGGTCTTGCTCCATCGAGTTTGCTTTTTGCCCTTTGAAGTATGAAGACAGAATTGAAAAATCAGGCACCATTAAAGAGTGCGTACCATGGATCAAATCTCATGTAACTTTGTGTTGTTTTGTTGACGATAATAGGAAACTAAGGACGGACAAGTCTATTAATGAATGTGGCTCTCTTCTGACTTTAATCCTTTTTCGTTTATTTATATCTGTCTCTAGAGAAGCTGACTATTAGCCAGTATGTCGCCTTAAGGACGTAGCAGGTTTCTACTGCTTGCTCTCCTATCTAAGGCCATGACGCAGAAAGTACTTAGGTACTGCATTGCCACCCCCCGTACGCAGGCATCCAAGCGGGATGCGGGTGTTATATACTAGGAATGCAACAAGGCTACCTGCATGACACTCCCTCGCCCTCGTTCGCTGGACGTGTTCAGCCTGCCCCGCAGCCAAGACACGATAACGCACAAGTCATCACAGCTCCTAAGAGTTGACGAGGATGCTTTGCAGAATCACCCGCATGGGCATAGGTAAGAGCAGGGAGACCGTCTGCAGGCTGAGACGACGGAAAGAGGGAACAACCACAAAGGAGAAGAGGGCGTAAGTCACCCAATCAACAGGTTCCCTGTCGTATTGCACAATCGGGAAGTGCTCCCAGGTGAAATCTGCTGGACCGTCCCATGCAGAATTGGAGGATTGCCCCCTCCCACCCGGCAACGATTTCACTGCCTGATCGGGTATTGGCTCCGATGATGCTGATGAGGGAGATGCGGCGGTGAACGGCTGGCGGCAGGCCCTCTCCAACACTTGATCCGTTAGGTTAGTGGCAGAGTCAGTGACAAAGTACCCCCTGGCGACTGGCGATCGGCGATTAGCAACGAGAAGATCGGAGGGCCTTAGTCAGCAGGTACCGAGCACATATGTATACATACATAGGTGATGCTGACACACACTTGGCCAGCCACATAACGCCACAGCGGGGGAGAGGGGGCTGCAAGTGCACAATTTCTAGGTAGGCCTAAAATAACCTCGTGCGCTAGTGACTTGGAAATCGTGCGCTATTAACCACCACAGCGAGTTTGTACAAGCCCACGTCGCCCGGTGCAAAGCAAAAGGGACCGCTTAGTTACTTGTAGGAGCAGCAGATTACATGCTTAGTGGCTTCCTGTCAATTTTTGCATTGAAGGAGGAGGGAGCAATTTTCATGGGAATAGAGTTCGTCTCATTTCCACGCAATACCACGTCGCTCCCTTCCACACCCGTGACCCACGCGACCATCTCCTGAGAAAGGCGGTGAAGGAGGGAGGGCACCGTGTTTTGCTTGGCTGCGCAAATAATTAACCCTTGCCGCCTGTTGTTTGCTTTATCTTATATCGTGTTGTTCAACACTTGTTCTGTAATATTTTTTTTTGTATGAGAAATTGACCACACAGCCCAGTGCGAGGCTTTGATAAGATTGGGTGTGTGGCGCTGCCGTATTGTGGCTGGGGGTTTGAATCCACTGTGGAGAACTGCCAGAGGTTTTTCTCCGGCAGTTCCCCACTGCCCTTTGTTTGATTGGTCCAGTAAAGTCCGTGCTAGTGGGTATCCCCTGGCGGAAGGCTACATAATGAAGGCATCGCGCGCGACGTGCTCCGTGTCATTATCAGGACTATATCCAAGATTTAATCCAGGATACTGCCGCAACAGCACTAAGCACACCTAATGTGGCGGGCTTCTTATAGGCGTCCCCCCAAGTAATGTCTGATCGCTCTTATAGAATGCCTTGTTTTCTAACTGTCAAAGCTGCATCAGGATCAAGCCCTCTATGTCATCCGCTACATCACAGGCATTTACAAAAGGGCAGACAGTTCATTCGTTCTATAAGAGACTTAGGCCATAGCAAAGAGGACTAGTAGAAAAGGGATGGACAGGGGGATAACATCTCCAGCCAGATGAATAGCAGTACCCATTGGTTTAGGTTTGGTCTGCGCAACCACTCTAGCCACAGATTGTAGAATATTAGTGTGGTCAGCTGAAGTATCTCAGTCGATGACCAAGCCTGGTCCCCCTGATTTGCAACCCTAACAGCTTCTTCTTCGTCCTCAATAACTTATTATAGCGCTTCACGTCGTTATCTCTGTATCTAGACCATGGAAGACCTTGCCTTCTCCCTCATCGTTTTGAACCTAGGGTCCTACCCTGTGCCTGCCGAAGGCTGAGTGCGCCAATGTAGAGTGTGACTTGAAGATGATGCGGGAACCAGCAGAATCCAGCAGCCACAAGCACAAACCCCAACATAATGTCGCCAGGGTCATTGTGCTGCGCGCTTATTTGCGGCACAAGCTTGCATCATGCCTTTCCCGGCCCGTCCCATGCCATACAGCAAAAGAATAGTTAGTCCACAGTCATTGTGGTTGAAGTACGGATACATCACATCAAACCGCCTTATATACGTACCTGAGATCCCACCTTCCAGTATTTATCTATTGTGGGGAACTGCCGGAGATTTTTCCACTGCAGTTCTCCACGTCCTCTTCTTGATTGGCTCAGACTATTGCCTGCCTGCCTGCCTGCCTTACACTACTCCGTAGGTCGATCGCAGTTGGGAGGGGAAGGCAGGTACGAATACCTCACCTCTTCCTTCCACACGGTCACTCACCACTCACGCGGGTTGCCACCTTGGTAGGTACAAGTCTTTCAGCCACTAACAATAAGTTTCTTTTTCTCTTCTTCCTTTCTACGCTTCTTTCCTTTAGCAAACTCTCCCCAATAAGCAAACGCCAACACTATTTTGTTCCTTTTCTTGTTCGGTTTAGACCCCAGACTTTTGATTCCGCCCAGACTTGGTAGCACCCCATCACTAACAGGTGCCGTATAGATCAGATGACTTTCAACCACGACAGTCAAGCCCTCATCAACACCTTCGTCGCCAACGCCCATCGTATATCCGACGCAATCGAGAGCTCAGCTAGAGAGCTGGCCCAGTCTCTCTTGGACCTAGACGCCGAGTTTGCATCCATCCTTGATTTTGTCGAGCTTCGCTGTCGCCTTCCAGATGATGTAATTGACATCTTCTCCCGAACCCTCCCTCATATCCCCGATCTTCTCAACGCGGAGCACGCGAGAGCCAAGATCAAAAAGGCTGCCATCGCGTGGGCCGTCACCTCCGGCCACATGGTGTACTTTTTCGGCTGGCATCACGGATACGACTTTTGGAACCAAGTCAAGCTTTTGGCAGACACGACGCCCGGCGCATTCACCGACACATTCAATCGCCTCAGACAGGTTGCTCGCGATCGACGCGCACCAGGCGCCACCTTCGGACGGAGAGGCGTGTGCAAATCTGCGCCCGGCATCACCAAACACGACGTCACCGTTGTCTTGAGGGAACATACCAACGTGAGTTGACACCGTCCATCCGTCCGTCCGTCTGTCTGTTTGCCCGTCTGCCTGCCGGCGGCTACTTTGTCCTTTTCCCAATCTTATTCTTCGCCACCTGCCAAGTGCCATGTCTTCATACTGACCTCAGCCAACAGCCCACATTCAACAATCCAACCGAAGTCGCCGAGCATACAGAATACTCTGCCGAGGCAAGCCACGCGGCAGCTGCAAAGACGAATCGCTCCGTTCCCCACATCCGTCCCGTCATAATAAACGAGGCTTCCGTGCAAAAGGATGAGGTTGTTGGCTTGACACAAGAACGCTCGGACACCCACAACCCAATGGTCCTCGACAACAGATCGCCTAAAGCCCTCCACACAACCAAGCCTTCGAGGGAACAAAGCTTCGCCGACTCACGGTGCACATCCTACAGCGACAGTGGCGTGGACTTGGGTCTCTACGATAGTAATTCGGAACCATCAGAGGCCGACGACGACCAGCTAAGTGAACTGTCCACAGCTCCGACAATCGTTATCGATACAACAACAAGCGAGATGTCTGCCCATAAGCGCAAAGCATCCGCCGTCACTCCCTTACAAGGAACAGAAGACTCTTTGACAATAGAAGAAGGCAAGTATTGTTATGCTGTGCTACCGATTCTTCGCTCATAATGATTTGTGGCCAGACATGTCTCGGGCCAGCTCAAAGAAGCAGAGGAGCGCCATGGCTGCTGACGACTCGACCAAGCCAAGTGACACATCAGCGATTTTAAGTCATCCCGACTCCTTTCTCCAGACATTCTTCGGTCCATGGAACGATTCTGCCGTTCTAGAAGCCCTCGTACTTGGCTCCGACGACCCCATCAACAAATCGAACCGGAAGACATTACGAACCCTTGCCTCCGGCACCCCCACAATGTCTCTTTTTGTCCCCTTGCGCTCTAGGGATTTTCAATGGTCATTTGGTATTGTTCGACTAGTCAACGGAGAACCGGCATACTTTCATCACTACGACTCAGACCCGGATCAAACCAAGACTGACGTACTCGCCGACGTCATCAACAAAATACTAGATGAGTTGTGCCCAGAAGAGTATAGATCGGCAGCCAGCCTCATGTCTCGACGCATCTCTCCTCGCCATACGTGCCCGAATGACAGCGGTCTCTACCTTGTCGCTAACGCATTGTACGTTCACGCCGGCCTTGAGCGACCCCAGCATTTCAACGTCCAACTTTGGAAGTACATTGTCGACACTGTCCTGCAGCAGTCTCCTACCTTTCCCGACACATTCACAGTGCAACAGCCCCAGCCTATCATCGTTGAAGACGTGCCCCGACTGAGTCCAGGGGCGACGGCGACAGAGTGGGCCGAGTGGCAGCACCAATTGTTGGAGGTTTCGAAACGCAACAGCAGCGCAATAGCTGCAGAATGGAACAGCAGGATTCAGAAGACGACGTCAATCAGAAACGACATTGAAGATGCCTGTGCTGTCATTTCGCACGCTGTTTCCAAGCGCACTCAGCTCGGCGAGCCATTCGCCGTCGGCGCAAACCTTTTGGGGAAGCTCTTGCAGGAACTGGGGGAACACTCGCGGTCAATTAGTGTTGCGATTGTGGACAGCGAAACGGAAAAGAAGAGTCAGTGCATCACGTTATGTCTTTTTCACAGACGATAGTGGTTCCACATGGATAGGAGTGTGTGGTAGGTCATAGCTGGATCAAGATATCCATAGGTAACGCTTGCATAATGATCTTGATCAGGGTTGGTGGCATCAATAGCTTTATACCCAGCATGAAGTTGTTTCCAGGGGTGGCAGGATAAGGACAGTCTCTTCTGATAGCCTGAAGAACAAATTCATCACTCAAATCATCTAGAGAGCTCTTCGCTTGTAGAATATTGGAGTCGGTTCCTGCTGAAATCTTGAACTGCATCGCCCTAGGGAAGTGAAGGAAAAAAGGCAGGACATTTCTGGAAGAGGGTTACGAGAGCTCCGATGGAAATTCCCATGACTATCAGCTAGATGGCTTACATCCTTTAGGGTTCATCACGGCAGCAGATGCAGGGAACGGCATGACGCTTTATCTAAGTTATGAGCACGATAACGCGTCCGCTCTGACAGATACAAGGCATGTTGAAGCATAATATCTATAGAATCACGCGTGCAGAGGCAATAAAGAGAGGGGTTTAGTATCCATTGACAAGCAGAGAGTGTCGCTCCACAAGGGTCACTTAACATCATCCACAGGGGCAAGCCCTAGGCAACCTAGTGAAATGGATATTATGATGGGTGGCGGTACCTTCTAGAAGAAAAGACTACACCTTAATTAGGACTTAAGTAAAACCTATTATATTATGCTTATGTGTATACTACTATAAATAAAGGACTTGATATGAAATTGTTATGATTATTTTCAACATAGCTAGCCACTAAGCTTTTTAGTGGACGCTTAACCCTTCAACGCGATGCACAGTGCCTTCCAGGCCTTGATATACGCCATGCGTCTCTGACAGAACCTTGAACAAAAGCCCTTGGATAGTGTTCGCCGCCCTTTCATCATTTACGCATCGGCTCTCTGGGCAAAATTACGACCAACCTCAAATAGACCCAATAAGACCTAAGCTAAAGTGAGCCAAGGTATTCAGGTGGCTGAGACAGTCATCCACCAAACTCTTTGCCTCTCACTAACTGATTGAGCCTGAGACGAGAAGAAGGAGTATCCTGTTTAGAATAAGCTAAGCTGCCTGCCAGCTTACCACTCACTAGTCACCTCGTAATCACTCTTGCTTAACTATATAAGATAGTAATAGCGTCTACCTAATATAAAAACATCTTGCAACTAAGTTTTTAATATACTATATATAGTACTGGCCAGATTTACTGTAAGATAGGGATAGTTATGTTGTAATTAAGCTGCTTGTAACTTTTAGCTTGTAATATAGTGTAACGCCTAAAAGTGCGTTACAGTCACCAGCTGGTGCTAGGTGGCGGTGAGGTGGTCAAGACCGCAGTATCTTGCGGGGCAAGACAGGTGATAGACAGAAGCAAAGCGGAGGCAAGCGCGTGAATGACCATATAGGTTCAAACAAGGTCACGGCGGCAGCAGTCAGGTTGCCAGCAGCTGGCGCTAGGACTTTTCAGCAGGTGACATGGTTAGTAGGCAGCAGCGTTCACAGGAACGCCCTAAAGGGCGTTACAGGTTAGGTAATAGAATGTCGTCCTCCCACATTAGGAATCCGTTCTTCCCTTTTTGCCTTATCAGGTTTGTCCCTAGCCCGCCCCTCCTATCTCCAGTACACCAACATCTTCAACTTTCAACTATTAGTCTTTCCTTTCCCTTATTAGGTCTCCACTACACACCATCATCTTCAACTATTCAAGTTTCATCCTAACAACCTCTCTTCTCTCTCCTTTTTTTGGTCTATTTAACTTAGCTTGTTCTTAAACGACAAGCAATCTTTTTCCTTTTTCTATTCTTAGTAAACTTAACATAAAATGCCAAGACCTAGGCCTCCAGTGTCTTAGGGTAGGAACCATTAGCAGCACTCCCAGTTACTATCACAAGAGCCCTCAAGAAACCAACATCTTCTCTAGTCGCAAACTTATCATACTTAAGAATTCAAGACCCTTCTGACGCCCTCTACCTCAATTCCTCCTTCTCTATTAGTCAAAAGAACCCAAGGCTAGTTCCACTCATCTGCTGATACTTTGACTTAAGAGACTCTAAGCTCGTTAAGTAAGCAGAAGGTACGCTTTTAAGCATTGTGCCCTTTTCCTAGCATTGTATCGCCAACTTCCCTCAGTATCCGCCCTGCCTCCGCCCACCTTGCCGCCGTCATTTTTTACTAATCACTTTGGCCTCTTAGAGTCACCTATTTCTACACACTCTAGTTAACTATAAACCTTAAAACGCAATCGCGCTCTAACACTTTGTTAGCTCCACCCTCGTGAGCGCCTTAGACAACACTCCCGCCCTCCTACCACAATTAGCACACCAAGGCTCCAAGTTTGGGTTACCGCAAAACATAGCCATGCAACACCTGTCGCCGCAGGAACAGATCACTATCCAGCAAGAGAGGCATAAGCTAACAAAGGCGCATGCAGCTCAAAGGCGCAAGGCTCTTAGACTTAAGTAGCTTAATAAGCATTAGGGCAACAGGCCGTCTTAGCTGCCAGCCGAAGTCAGTCCCAGCAATAAACCCGGCCAGAGCAACATCAATAACTACGCCGCCATCATAGAGACAGCTCTTAACAACGGGGCGCCTCTCAAGTCTCTCTAGGAGAAAGGTAGTATACTTCACAAAGCAGCAAACCTCAGCAGTACCAAGAAACCACCCCGCTTAAGCGTGCAGGACTTGCGCACTGTGGCGAAGAGATTTGTCTCTTCATTCCCTCCTCTCTCCAACGTGCCAGAAGGCCGCTCACCAAAGGTCTTGCCAGACAGAGAAGAGGCTGAAGTCACACCTGAGCGGGACACGCAGGCCGAGGGCTCGGAGGATCAAGACTTTCCTAATAACGTTAAAACGGCGCGGCATGCACCTACAACTCCAGACCAACAAATCGACATAACTGATTTTATAGCTAACAAATCTACAGCAGATAATGACTCTTTAAATAAGAGTAATTCTATAGATAACGATCACTTTGCGCTTAAACAAGACGAGGAAGAAGACATCCTAGACGGCTTAATCGGCGCTAATATCCTAATGGCTACTAATAACTCTAAAACCACAGACAAGGTCCACGTAAGGGCTAAAGACGACATTGTGGTTAATGTTATAGATAGCATCTCTAACCCCTTAATCGAAAGCTTTCCAGACATAGCTGCTAGTGTGCTTACGGCGCAGACACAACTCAGCGATCCTAACGCGCGCCTTGAGGGTGATGCCCTGGTTGCTATCTCTACAGCCCTCATAAAGCGACTTGTTGGACGTTTACATAAGATTAAAGTGGTCGACCCTTTGTAGGTCTGTATTAGTGCTGGCGGCGTGTGCGACTCGTCACTCCTGCACTTACGAGATTACAAACAGGTCTTGCTCCCTATTAGCTATGCCTCTGAGCATTGGACTCTTGTCTAACTCTCTGCTTTGACAAGCCTAGCTAGCACCAGGGTATTAATTCACCACTATGACTCTCTTCTAGATGAGACACGTCATCGGTATGTGGAAGCAGCGTTTAAGTAAATAGTGGCAAAGAGAATGGCTGGTTGCCAAATCAAATTCGTCCCAATGGTCAGTCAGCTACGTTGTTTGTTACGTCACCGCGTCTTCCTAAACACATAATGCTAACCTATTTGCACCCTAGAACTATGCCATACAAGAGGACAAGGTTAACTGCAGCGTCTTTGTCGCTGTATTTATTAAACATCTTCTCTTTAACCAGAACCTGCTGGATACTCTTAACCCTTGCTGCAAAAGGAAGCGCCTTCTTTAGATTCTATCTAAAGAGTACTCTAAATCGTGTGGTATTAAGCGAAGGTTGACTAACAGTCCGGACATGAAACCCACTGCGGCAAAGAGACAGCTTCTTAGTGCCCTTGAAAACAAGTCTGCAGTTCATGCCGACCTGGGTAGCCATGCAGTAGAGCGCGATGCGTTGGAGGTAAAAATGAATAGAGAGCTAAGGCAGCACAAAGATGCAACCACACAATGACTTAAGGATGCCTCGAGGGCTAAGGAGATGGCTATCAAGCAAGTAAAGATGTCACGGCTTTTTGAAGGTATTTAATTGACGACAAATTCAAACACGACAGGCACAGACAACAAAACAAACAGCATCATACAAGAGATCAACACTACTGCCAGAAAGAGGCTTATTAGCGCTAGATAGAAGGGCGCTTCCATGGAAAAGGCCAAGGATCAGGCTGACGCAGATGAGGTGGCGGTGACTAAGGCCAAGGCGGCGGTCAAAGAGGCGCAAACTACATCTAGAGATGCTTATAACAAGGTATCACAAATGACAGCATTCCTAACATAGCAAAGATACATCCGTCAAGTATAGGAATTATTGAACTTGTCTTTCCTGTCAGATGGCGACTAGGTGTTACTAGAGGAGGCACAGGCGCTTTTTTACTACTAAAACAAGAACAGCCTTAACTATTTCTAAGCCAATTCTTCTTTACTCTAATAAACACTTAAAGAAACTTTATAATACCTAGCAGGACATCTAGCTAATAAACAACACTATAAGATAAGGCATAGTAAGTAGTAAATTAATCCTTAGAGGCTTTCCTTATATCTATTTACCTATTATAAATATAGTATAGACGCTTATTATTGACTATCTAGCACCTAAAAGTCGTAAGTTATTACTACTTAATATAATATTATAAGATAGAGAGGGCTTTGGCGTAGGCTAACTATTAGACTCTAAATACTCTACAAGGTAAAAAAGGAGGCCAAGATGCTAAGACAACGCATAGCTATATATCTTATTAACTAGTACACCTTTTAGCCCTCCCTACTAAGCAACTAAGGTTAATTTAAGTGTTTATTTCTTAAGAAAGGTTATGTCTAGAAAGAAAGTAAATACCGCTATAAGAATCCTAGATATATTAAAAGGATTTAAGATAGTAATAATAATGCTTGTAAGGCCTAAAACCTATAAGTCTCTTCTTACTATAATTCCAGCTTAGTAAGGCTATAAAGATACTAAGGACTAGTAATAGTAAGTTAACA